TGATGCCTGATAACTGATCCCTTCGGCATCTCGTGATCACACAGGCTGATGTGCTTCCATATGGGCTTTGTTGCTTCTGTGTCACGTACAGGTTCTACATGGGAAAAATGAAGTATTCTGGAATCCCATTCTTCTCAAAGCTATCAATAGTTTCTTATGACCCACAAAGTTGAATGCCTTGTCACAGTCAATGAAACACAAGTAAACATCTTTCTGGTATTCTCTGCTTTCAGCCAAGCTCCATCTGACATCAATATTTGTATTCCTTGTTCCACAACGTCTTCTGAACCCAGCCTGAGCCCCAGCCAGCTTCCTGCCAATGTACTGCTACAACTGTTGTTGGTCAGCAAAAGTTTACTTGCACGTGATATCAGTGATATTCTTCTATAATTAGCATTCTGTTCGGTCACCTTTCTTTGGAATGGGTACAAATAGGGATCTTTCCCAGTCAGTTGGCCAACTGACTGTAAGCCATAGCATTCCATAAACCTTGAGCTCAGATATCAACCTCAAATAGAGTACAACAGAAACATAGTCTAGGCCTGCATCCTCATAATTGTTGTTGTGTTGGTGCCCATTATTGCAGCCACTGTCAAGTCATGTCAAAGAGGGTCTAGCTCCTTTCCACTGAACCTATACTTTAACGACTATGATCTCACAATTATAATATTTAGTGAAATATCGTGGTCTAATAATTAAGAACCCAGGCATTGGAGTTAGATCAGGCTATAAAATCCAAAGCTGGCATGTTGTGCACATTTAGGCAATTCCTTTAACCCTTTTAAATGTCAGTTTCCCTCCAGGTTTTCTGAGATACTGGTTCATGAAACAAATGCTTTTAAAATGCCTTTGTGTCAGGCACCATTTTAAACGTGAGATACAACAGCTAACCGGAGTGAAGGTTTTTGTCCTTGTAAGATTTGTCATTCAGGTGTGACAAGGCAAATAACATACAAGTAAAATTTAAAATAATGATAATTTTACATAATCAGTGCTATTGAGAAAATATCGTTGGTTACGTCAGTTAAGGGTCTATTCATAATTGGGTGGCTATGGGTCTATTATTATTATTGTTCCCAGGAAGACAGCGTCTCAGGGAGTAGAACAGACTGGGCTCTCGAGGACTGCAAGCAGCAGGTAATGTGGTGGTGCCCCACCACCCAAACCAGCAGCCGGATGGCATTAGATGAGGCCTGACAGGTGCACAGGGACCAGAGAAAGTGGAGCCCTGCAGATGGTGTATTCTTCCTGTGGGAGAATGTTATTGGGTGGTTCTTTGGGGGTGAGAGTAACTGTGGTAGATATATAATCGTTTGTCGATTTGAGGATTAAAACTGTACGGGAGGAGTCTAGCTTGTCAATCAGATCATAGCCAATGAGGCCTCTGTGTGGGTATGGCCTTTTCCTGAGAATTCTGGGAAATCTGGTACTTCCTTCTTGTAGGAGGGAGACACTTCTCTCTCTCTGCCACTCCTTGGGAGACATTGCAGCTGACAAGACACATGGAACTACACTAGTGCCCTAAGTTGGAGAAGCCACATGGACCTACCCTGATGCAACCAGACCTCTG